TGGCCCTTTTAGTTTGTGAGGGTTAAAACGTTTCGAAGGATGCAAAGCATCTCTTTGGCCATAAGATCATGACTTGACTTGCCCCGTTTACATTTTTCATTGATAATTTGGTACCATTAGCGAAGAATTGCACACAGAACTTTGAGTGCAGAAATAAATTTAAGCTACAACCTCGTAAAACTTTTTCTATTTACCAGAAAAAAAAACTTCGGCCATTTCTTGCAGTGGTACTAATATTATTTAAGAGGTGGAAAAAATAACTCCTTGATAAATGATGCAGCTGTGGACCAATATTAATATATATGCACTTGCCCAAGTTCACAGGCAGATTCAGCTAAAATTTCTAGCCCAGCTACTCATAATTTTGTTGTAAGACTAGGTATCTAGCTTCAGAATCAAGGAGGAGAAACACTAATTAAATTGAGGAATAATAAAACCCTTTAGAATAATTAGAAGAATATTAATAATTAAATAAAGATTATAATGGCAGAAAGTGGACATAATTATTATTATTTGTTCTGCACGATAGAAAAAGGCCAAGGAATCTTTTTCCAAATCCTGAGTTCCCTGGAGCTTCCCATAAAATAATTGACGCCAACCCTTCCCCACATGTACTTTCTTAGTGTTAGTAAAAGTTGATTTGGATCTAAGCCCACTTTTTTCCTTAGTGTACATGCATGTGTAATGTTTAATTTGTTTTAGATGTAAGTAGTGAGGTTCCATCAGATAGTGCTTCCCAACCGATTTTTCATCCATCACCAACCCTTGCAATCTTCAAAGAAATATCCAGATTCTTTGAATACACAAAATAATTGGAAACGTTACAACCGTGTCATTGAGGAATCTAGATAAATGGACATTAGGCCAGATATATTTCTCCTCAAGGTGCACTTACCTCCTTCTCCATCAAGTTGTGATTAACGAACCATCGAGGTATATAATCGGATTCATTTTATTTCTAAACAATACTTAGTAATCCATATTTATCGAACAAATCAACGATTCTTATAACAATTACGATTCTCATGATGAACATAAGACTAAATGGTCTCTAACTTGATTGATTGCATAAACGATTTTAGAAATTGAATGATTCCAATGATGGCGGACGTATGAATTTTTTAGCAGAGGTGCAATTTCAAAAGCTAAAAACTTTTTTGTGGATTGAACATCTAAGGCTTTTTATTTAGATTGACCTTAGGTCTTTTCATGCATTCATATCATATATAAAAAATTATTTTATGTAAAAATATTGACTAAGTATGAAAAATGATTTTTGGAAATAATAATTTTCTCAAGATAATTTTTGGTGGCTTTTATTCCTTACACATCAAATAAGAAAACTTGATTTTATGGGATTTTATTATGAAGTATATGTTGACTTAATGTGCCATCATTTTTAGCCTAAATCGTATTTTGCACTAAAACCAATTTTCCATATTTTGATTTGATGGGAATTTGATTTTCTAGTATTTTTATTTGAATCCAAATAGGGGGTACTTCCTTATTTACATTGTAAACATAAGTAAATGGAGTAATATAAAAATAAATGAAAGTAAAATGACAAAAACATTTACTTAAATGCTGAAAATGGAAATAAGGATCTGTGCACTGTGCAGCACCACTAGCTGAGCAAATAGGCAATTTGAAGCACCTATAATGGTTTTTCCGGCGAGGGGAGGTGCTGTGCACTGTGTAACTATGCACCACCACCAACTGAGCAAATGGGCAATTTGAAGCGCCTGCAAGAATTTTTTCGACGAGGGGAGGTGAAGCTGCACCTCTTTGCGTCTTAATAGGTCCGCCACTTTACATGTGTATAATGAGAATTAGTTAATCACAACTTACCGGAGAAACGGTGTAAGTATTGTCCTTTTCACTCTACGCATAGTTAGAATTAGTTAATCACAACTGGGTGGACAAAGATGTGTAAATACTGTCCCTTTCACTCCACGCATTTCTTCCCAAACTGTAAAACATCATAAAATAAATGTATAGATTTCCAACATTTTTTTTGGTCGAAGTATTATTTATTTTAAACTTTCTTACATGAGGTGAGACGTATTTAGGAGTTGAAAGTTGAAACCCATTATTGGTGTGAGAAAGTTGGATTCTGAAAAAACCCTTTCCCAAAACAAAAGAACATGCATAATGCATGGTGAAACAGAAACAGAAAAAAGTAGGAGAGATTTTATCAGTTTTGTTTTTATTTATTTTAAGAGATAATTATCAGTTAAAGTGGGAGTACAGTGAGCTAGCTAGTGGGAGAGAAAGGAAGTCAAAGTTATTCGAATAAACAAAAAAGGTAGCCCTATTATCTTAAGAAAGTGAATGGTTGAATATTGTGTTGTATTCTCAACGTCAAATAGTACAATACATATATACAATAATAGCCTTCTATCAACCCTGCTGTTAAGGCTGTGAAGACGTGATCCAATATTAGTGGGATTTGACCTACACTAATTTGGGCAAGTAAAGATATTACAATATTTACAAAGATATTTCCTAATACTCCCCCTCAAGTTGGAGAGTGAATATCATGAAGTCCCAACTTGTCGCGCAATGTCACAAATTGATCCTTCCCTAAGGCCTTCGTAAAAATATCTGCCAATTGGAAGTGTGTAGGTACATACGAAGGACTAATTATTCCAGCTTGTAGTTTTTCTCGAACTATGTGACAATCAATTTCGATGTGCTTTGTACGCTCATGGAAAACAGGATTAGCGGCAATATACAAAGCTGACTGATTATCACAAAACAATGGTGCAGGAGCTATCTGTGGGACTTTTAAATCCTGTAGTATAAAGCGTAACCAAGTCAACTCCAAACATGTGTTGGCCATAGCTCGATATTCAGCTTCTGCTGATGATCTTGAAACATTGGTTTGTTTCTTGGATTTCCATGAGATGAGTGAATTTCCAAGAAAAACACAGTATCCTGTAACTGATCTCCTTGTCGCACGACAACCTCCCCAGTCTGAATCACAAAAAGCTTTTAATGTAAGATTGTTGGTGGCAGAAAATAACAAACCCTGACCTGGAGTCCCCTTGAGGTATTTAAGGACCCGTATGGCGGCATCCCAATGAGGTCTGCGAGGCTGATGCATGAATTGACTTAGTGTTCGAACAGGATAGACTATATCAGGCCTTGTGACAGTAAGGTAGATCAATCGGCCAACCAGTCTCCTGTATTTGGTTGGATCATTCAGTAATTCTCCATCTGTGGGAGTGAGTTTCAAATTCTGTTCCATTGGGAACTTGTCTGGGCGTGCGCCTAGAAGTCCTGAATCCTGCAAAATATCAAGTGCGTACTTTCTTTGAGACATGAAAATACCTTTCTTGGAACGAGAGAATTCAATGCCCAGAAAATATTTCAAATCTCCAAGATCTTTGATGCGGAAGCGTTTGAGAAGGAACTTTTTGAGACGTTCCATTTCTTGAAGATTATTTCCTGTGAGAAGTATGTCATCAACATAGATAAGAACTGCAGTAAATGAAGTGCCTTCAGCCTTGGTAAAAAGAGAATAATCAGCTTTAGACTGTTGATAACCGGCCTTTTGAATGGTATCTGAAAAGGTGGAAAACCAGTTTCTGGAAGCCTGTTTGAGACCATAGAGAGATTTGTTGAGCCGACATACAACGTTCTCCCCCTGTCGGCGAAGACCAGGAGGAGGCTCCATGTACACCACCTCATGTAAATCGCCATGGAGAAAAGCATTCTGAACGTCTAATTGGTGGAGGAACCAATGGCGTGCAGCAGCAACAGTAAGGAGACAGCGGAGGGTAGTGAGTTTGGCTGTAGGGGAGAAAGTCTCCTGATAATCAATGCCCTCAATTTGCGTGTAGCCTTTAGCAACGAGCCGAGCCTTGTAGCGCTCAATGGTGCCGTCGGACTTGTATTTGATTTTGTAGACCCATTTGCAGCCGATCGGTTTATGACCAACAGGCAGTGGAACCAAACTCCAAGTGTTATTGTGCTGTA